TTGGTCTGAGCTGGGCTGTAGTTGTGGGTGTTGTTTGGTCCGGCAGTCTGATGTTTCCTCTGCCCTCATCTTCCCCTTCCCCCGACGAGCCTAGTTTAAAGCCCGTCGGAGGAGGTCTGCCAACCTAGAAGAGAACACACGCTTACCTTTAGGGGAAAGGTGGAGCCCGTCCCATCCCAGCATGTCTCTTGTCGTGATGTGCCGGTCATGGCTGAGGAAGCCAAAGCCCTCCTCGAAGCACCATTCCTGTAGCTGCCAATTGGTCTCCGCGATGCACGTTTCATGCTGACTGCCTCGTCCACTCACTGGCAGGATAGAAGAGAAAACCACCTGGACTTGGATGGGGGTGTGCCAATTCTGCTGCTAGGACCAAAACTTGAGGTTCCTGGCTAGGGGGTCTTGCTTGTCTACTCAGAGTCAGGCCAATCACCAAATTTGGAGTCAGGAAGGAATTTTACCCCATGGTCAGATTGGTATGGACTATGGGAGGTTTGCCGTCTTCTGTAGCAAGGGGCATGGCCCTGTACCCAGGATCCCTTGAGTGTAAATATTATCAGCATCTAATAGAAGCAGGACACTGGCTGCCATGGTTCCCCTGGTTTACCTGTGGCAGGTTAGGGTGTTGGGTCTATATTGTGTCAGGATTGATAATAGTCCAATGTATAGTTTGGATAGGAATAGTCCTGCCTCTGGCAGGGGTTGGAGTAGACGACCTCTGGAAGTCCCTTTCAGCCCTGCTTCTCTATACTTCTGTGATTCTATGATATGTGATATCTAGACTTCCCTTATTTGCACAGCCGTCTGGAATACCCAAATCCAATCATTTCCCTTTCAAACTGTCTTCAATTTTCTATCACACATTTGATATCAGAAGAACTGAAGTACAAAACCATTTCTGCTTTCCTCCTCTTTCACCCTGGCCCCCCTCCCCAAGAGCAGAGAGTTGTAGTAGTCAGGGCAGGAACTAGAGACTAACTGGTTCAGACAGGCATTTGCTTTTGCAAGCAACAACTTATTTCATCAGGTGCCATGAAAAGTACCACCTTGCCCTATCTTTTCCCTTCATAACATCCCTTGGCCCAATTCCTCTTTCCCTGGGACTGTTACCTTTCAGGATTTCCACATCTATTGGTGATATGTAGGAGATGCATGCGGGTGCACCTGTACCCCCGAGCGTGGCAGTGCACCCCTTACGAAAAGGCACTGCCAACACTGCTGGTGATGCCTGCGGGTAGTTGCTGCTTGCCACTCCTCCACCCCTCGCTGCTGACACCACCAGCAGCATCTGCAGGTGGTCACCAACCACTGGTTGGCACTCACACCCCCTTCCCCACTTGCTGCCAACAGCACTGCTGCTGCCTGTGGGAGCTCCCTGCTTACCGCTGCAACACTCCCGCCGCCAACAGCACCAGCACCACCTGCCGGAGCTCACCATCCCAGCCTCCAGGGGCATTTGGCATTTGTGCTCACATCCATTCAGAACAGGCTTTCTGGAACATGAACCCTGAACCTGGTGCAACACATAAAGCAGCACGTAACATTCCTCCAGCCAGGGTTGGGCATTATTTCTAACCTGCCTTATTCCCTCACAAAGAAATTGCCAGAGTGCCAGTGTACATGATGACTCCCAACTGCACCATCTCCTGGGTTGAAGTCCGCCAGGGTTCTAACCAGAGCTGTGGCCCTCATCAGTTGCACAACAGATACAGAGAAACACAAATATGGAAACATGAAACATTTTTAAATGAGCAAGTTATCCATAGTGCAACCCCAGTGTTCAAAAATTGAGGCAGATCATCTTCAAAATACTGAAACTAGGGTAAAAATCCCCAGATTAAAAAAAATAAATTGCTTTCTTGTTAAGGACTCTTAGGTTTCTCTGCAGTAGTAAAGGCTAAGACCATTCTCTTTCTCTCTCTTAAAGGAATGTTTTGAGTTTGCCTCACGTTTTTAGCTTGGAGCTGGACTTTAAGAACACTGTTTACCACAAGACGTATGATGAAATTACAGATTTGGCTACACAGATTTACTCACTTAAAACAGCTGGGAATTCCTTTGGAGGGGTAACAGATGAGAAACCCTTCACCCACTGTGAACATAAGCATAACACAGAGTTTTCCATTGTGTACTCAGAATACATACTAGGGAGTTTTAACTAGGTACGAATTCTGTTTTAAAACTTCTTTTTAAAAACTAAAATAGCCTAAAAGAAGTGTTGAGTTGAAACCTGTGTAAACTAGCCTAGAATAAGGTGGTTTACATCAGGATTGATACCTTCATAATTAATTACCCATGTAGACAAACGCTTAATTTCCATGTGACACTTAATTTATGTTTTAGCCCAAGGGCTAGATTCAGGTGTGTGGGGCTAGGCTGGCACACATCTAGAGCTGGGTACACAGGGTTAGTCTGACAGGATTGCACTTGCAGACCAATCCCACACAACTCATCCAACCCATGGGGCCGGAAGGTTGTGCATCACAGTTTTAGCCCGTTTTAGGCACTTCCCCCATGTGTTAAGAGACCTTTTTAAGATAGGTCTATAATTAAAATATAAGAGGGGTTCCAGGTCAGTGGCAGAGGTGTAGACACTTGTACCACTGCTGTCTGCTGTCAAAATATGGAACCCATATTGAAAATGTTTTTGCATATATTATTTGTTTGTCCAGAAAGGCTTGAGGTTGCTAACTCTCATGACTTCATTGTGAATTTTCCAGCATTTTCCTTGAAGCCCATCTCCTGCAATCATGAAATTATATGCAAACTCAGCTTCCATTAAAAAAAAATAAATTACCTGGATGGCTGTAAAGAAGTGTTTTAAACATGAACCAGTTCAATTATAAATGCTCAGAAACCAGAAGACAGATAAAAAGACCCAAAATATTATTTGTAATGATCTACGATTTAATAACATTTTGGAGTTTGACTTGTGCTTTTGGAATGTTTGGGACTGCTAATACTGAAACGTGATCCACAGCTGACAGCAGGTTTCCATGTTTTAAAGCAAACGTAGTGATTGTTAAAAAACTGACTTTCCTACCACTTCTTAACACGGGGCAAAAGGAATGAGGGTAGGGCAGTGTGTAACCCTGGAGCTTCTCATTTTGTCTGCTGAGATTTCTACAAAGGATGCTAGTTGCATTGATACATTTGGCAACAAGACATATCTATTCACTAACTAGCCAAAGATTACTAGAGGTGCACTGATGCATCAGTCCATTTTGTATTGGCACTGATAAAAGGAAAATCAACATTATCAGCAATCAGCTTTTTCTGGCTGATGTGGCTGATAATGCCACTGATAAATGCTGCATGCATATGCAGCTACAGCATGCACATGGCCAGCCTGGCAGCCTGGAGAGCAGCGTCCAGCTGGTACACTTGTTAAGGGTAAGGTGTTGGGTAGAGGGAAAGGGGTGTGTGGGGAGGGGGCAGATCAAGGCCCCTGCGGTGAAGGAGTGGGGCTGGGCATGGAACAGAGCCACGAGCAGCTCATCCAGGGGGCAGGCAGGGGGCAGCTTCCACCACTGCATGCACCCAGGGGGGAGCATGGGGGCACATACCCCCAGATCTGTGTGCTGGGTGAAGCTGGGCTGCAGCTGGGGCTAGTGCCAGGCTCTTCCCGGCGGGGGGGCTGGGTCAAGGCTGTGCTCAGGGCAGGTGGTAGTAGCAGCGCTGGGAGTGGGGGCTACCATCCATAGCCCCCTCCTCCTAGCTCCGCTGCCACCCAGTCGGAGCACAGTCCTGACCCAGTCCCCACACTGGGAAGAGCCTGGCGCATTCTCCAGCCGCAGGCTGCAGCAGCAGCCCGCCCTCACCCCACACAAAGATATGGGGGGCACATGCCCCCCATGGCCTCCCTGGGGTTGTGTACAGCGGCAGGAGCCGTGCCCCCCTCCCTCACTGTAGGGGCCCTGATTTGCCTCCCCCACCCCTCTATCCTCCCCACGCCCCTTCCCTCCCAACAGACTTATTAGCTGGACACTGCTGTCTAAGCTGCCAGGCTGCATACCAGCAATCAGACTGGTATCAGCCAATATGGCTCATTAATAATCGGCCATCAGTATTGGCCCAAAAAATCTTCATCAGTGCACCCCGAAAGATTACCAACTTAGTTCTGTTAGACAAACCACTTTATCATCAGTGTCAACAGGGTCACTCGTCAGTACAGGCTAAATTTAGAACAAAAAACTAGAGATTCAACCCATTACCAACCCCCTAAGTCATTTTTCTCCTTGCTGTTTTGCGTTTTAGTTAAAGGATTTAAAATATTATATTACTGACAGCTGTTAAGGATATATCTGAATTACATTTTTAACTTACAAGTATCTTTTGTTTTGGCAACTGAACAGGTTGTTCAAGAAGCATTGGATAAAGCCGGACAAGGTCGCACCTGCATAGTAATAGCTCACCGCCTGTCCACCATCCAGAATGCTGACAAGATAGCAGTGCTCCAGAATGGAAGGATTATAGAACAAGGAACTCATCAGCAACTCTTGGCTGAAAAGGGCATCTATTATTCACTTGTCAATGTTCAAGCTGGGTTGTGCAATATGTAAATTAAAGACAGTTCCGTATTTCTGAAGTAGGATTGTGCTTCTCTTTCAGTATTGTAAAAGGGCAGCATTACTGAACAGGCTTAGTACCTTTGTTTTCAGGAAAGGTCTGTAAACAGAACAGGCCCCTTAATTTACTGTGAATCATTTTATTAACATCACATCTTGTTGGCTCATGTCCACACCACAAACTTACCAGATCAGGCAGCAGCTCAAATATATCATTTCACTCCATACTAAGAAACTGTGTAGACATAATTTGCATGATGCTGCTGGTGGCTTAATTAGCAGCAATGCTAAATAGTTTCAGACTTCATGAAAAGCCGCACAATGATGCATTCACTAGCACAGCTGCACTTGAGTAGAGCTCCAGGCTTGTTCTCTTTTAAATAGATTTAAGAATTGTTATGGATCCAGATGCAGTCTAGGATTTGAGAGATGTGGGTTCTATTTCTAGCTGTCACTGACACCCTCTTGATGTGTGAACATCAGTCTACTGGGAGTGAATTCAGCCAATCTGGGTAGTGAGTGATCTGAGTTTCTCTGTGCTGATGCTGTGTTATGACACCAGTAGATCCCCACGGACTGCCATATTAACCATGGGACCCTATTCACCAGCTCTTCCAAACCTCCCAGTTGCTTACACATGTTTTCCAGAGTTCACCTGTCTGTGGGACCTGTTTTTTCCTAATTAAATCCTTCAGAAACAGTAAACCAGAAACAGTAAAGCAAGGAACAAAGGCTTAGTAAAAAAAGATTACTATGTGTTTATTTTAGAACATTTAAAAATTGCCCTTAAACAGTAAGTTTGTCTCAACTTTTAACTGAAGTGTTAGGTCAGGACTACACCAATCCTATGCAAGCCAGGAAAGAGTTAATAAGCTGTGAGGAGAGGGGAGGAAGAGGGCGTTAATCATGTGCTGCTTAAGGCTGGTGTCAAGCTTTAAGGGAGAAGGTAAATGGGTGGACCTAGCTCTGTTGATGTTTAGATCCGTATGGAGAGCTGTGCCTATGTGGTTTACCATGCACGTGGTCTTATTTCACTTCTTTCTATAGCGTCATGCTAAAACTTCCTACCTGCTCTATCCCAGGGCTAGCATAGGCTACATGACCAACTCTGGACGTGTCTACACGTGATGCTATGTTGCCATAACACACTATGGAAACAGAGCATCCACAGGCATCTACACGTGATCAGCAGCTACTTATAGCATGCTGCTATGGCAAAGTAGCTGCTAAAAATAACTGTGCACCACGCATATGGTGTAGTATGGGCTGTTACTTCAAGATTTAGTACTTCCTACTGTCACAGCACAGTAACATTGCCATAGTGACATATAGACATGCCCTGTATGTCCTAGATTGCATCACCACACATCAACTATATACCTATGTAGCCACTAAGCACAGAGTTCTATATTGTCTTCCAACTCTATAAAGCCATGTAAATAACTGTAATTTTTAACATTTTCTAATAAAGTTGCTCTTTATGCAAGACAGTAGGCTATCTGGGAGTCAGAAAGATTACTTTCTATTAAAGTAAGTCTGGCAACAGAGCACCTTGTTTGCATGCCAATAACTGACTAAGGTTTCCTGAGCCCAGGTGGGATAGAAACATCTGCTTTGTCAATACTCAGTAGAGTTTAGAAAGGGAAGAGTCTACTGAGGAGTAAAGAGTTGGTTTTTGTGTCAATTTTGAATTTTGAATACATCTGAAGAACAGGAACTTTGAAGGACTTGCATGATGTAGTGGAAGAGTGGATCAGCTGAAAGACCAAAAAGCAAACAGAGGCACACGCACCCCCATCACTGTGCTGTGCCAGCAGAGGCAGTCACTTTTTGTTACTGCCCTACTATAACAGTGCATCAAGGCATTAGTAATTTGAGCTCAGCTGTGGATTTAAATACTGCCATAATACAAATAATAAAAAATCCTTGACTTAGGAGCTCTTATATCTCAAAGCAGGGCAAAGAGAGTGATGATTTTAGAATCCCTGAGTCATTTTCATCCTTGCACACAAAATTTCTCCTGGTAGAAAGCTGGTTGCTGTGCATCAGCCTGGTTATCTATAAACCAAACAGTTGATAAGAAATAGGCTTTCTGGACTGTTTTATTTGAGAGAAAGGAAATTACAAAGTTTATCAAACATAAAAAGTAATCTTTAAATTATAAAGAAATCTTAAAGTCCTGAGAATCTTACCAAACTGTACTTCCTACATTGCTTTAATGTGTACTCTTCTGTAGAGCAGCAGTGACATTTGTAGTTAGTTCATCCCAAGAATGTCATCTTTTGAAACTTCCAAGTAGTATCCTCCTTTTCACTCTCACATTTAGAAAAAGTCACAGTCAGCTTAAATCTCTGATTATAGTGCCTTCCTCCTCCACCTGAGAAATTTCTTATTCAGAACAATTCTTCATTTGACAGAATCCCAATGGCAAAAATAGGAACTAGGAATTGTTATATTCATGTACAGCTTGAAGGAGACAGACAGATAAGCTAATACTTCTCCTTAATTTTCATTTTTCCCCAGAAATGACAATTTATGAACTCCATTAACAATTTCCCATTTAGAAAGCACCATCACCTATTAGTGGTGGAAAAGATATTCTGAAATACACTTCTAAGTGCTCCACTGAAATAAACTTCAGTGGTTTATAAAGTATTCCACAAGCTACCATTAGAAAAATTGTAAGAACTAAACATTCATAAATTCTCCATTTCCAAAGGCAGACATTTCTGATACATTTGCATTGCTGAGGCATTGTTTTATATTGCATAGTTCTACTTCGATAACTTGCAATAGTTTGCATTCTGGGTGCAAATAGTTTTATTACTCTTTAAGGAAGCTTGCATTGTTGCTGCGGTAAATTCCATAAAATCAGTAAGTTTTGCATTATTTCTGTTTAACATCTATGCTGACCTATCACTTAATGTCTTGCATAGACTGTTATAACCTTTAAGAATAGCATTTCATTCAGCACTGTTACGTAATAATAATGAAAGACACAACAAGGCACATTTACATTCCCATCAACTCTAAAGCTGGGCAGTGGCTGTTAACTGTATCATGTCCTGGAAACACTGGAACATGTTCTTACACAGCATTTCTGCATCAGTCTCTGGGCATGACTTCCAAGCAGAGCAAGCCACAACAAACCTAGTAATATGAAAATTAACAATGTTAGATAATGAACGCTTTAAAAATCCTACAGACAGCCATGAATTGTGAACTTACTAATGCATGTTTTTTTAAATGTGGGTTTCTAATTTAGGCACCTTTTAACTGTTGCAATTTTTCAAAAAATCAAAACTTTCAGAGCTCACATTGACTTCAACTAGAAATGTTTGTCCTTGGAGATTCCAAAAACTGACCCAGTGTTTTACATCCATAAACAGATTTAGATGCCTAACCCAGGTGCTTATGCTTGAAAATGTTGCCAGCTATTTCTTTCCTGCAAGTAGCTTGAAAGGACTCCCTTTTCAATAAAACCTATGTAAACAGATATGCTGCTCTAAGGAAGAAACTATTTGCCAATCTGAATACATTCTATGAAAAATCCACATTAAGCTATGAAATATTTCATAAACAGATTACTTATGCAGGAAGTGAATGCCACTGCTGCTCCCCCTTTTCCTCTGCCACCAATTTTAGTCACCTGGATTACTTCAAACCTCAATTATGGCAGAAGGGAAGCAAGCAGCATTAACTCCCTAGGCTCTGGAGCCATACTAAAACAGCAGCTCCAGCAGCCACAGTGATTAAAACTCCCACTGCAGGAGCACAAGCAGCCACAGCAACAAGCCCCACAATCTCAATCTGCAGAGTTGGGTAGTCTGAGAAGCCCCACAAACCAGATGACCCACCTGCTCAGACTGGATCTGGCCCCCAAGCTTTGTTTGACATCTCCTCCCTAAACCATATTTAGATACAATGCTTTTGTCTTTCTATCATACCCATCCTGCTTCTTTCAAGCTCTTTGTTTTCTTCCTTCTAGCTGTGAACTGTCTTTATCTTTGTGACATTAATACAGTCAGAAAACACAAAATGGGGGACATATTCAAATAACTGGTTTAAGTTTTCTTCTGGAAATTCCATACTGAAGGAAATGAGAACATAGCTTTACCTGTCATCTCTGATTCTATAGAAAACACCATAGCCATGATGTACCATGGGGACTGCAGAACCACCAATTCTAGTGTAGCCAACCATGCTGGTTGAAAGCAAAAAATTTCCACCTCCTCCACTATAAAGGAAACATATTGTTTTTAATTATTTTTTAAAACAAATCAGATTTTATGGAACAAAAAATGGTTTCATTCTTGATATCAAGAAATGGCCAACCATTTGGCAAATATGACCAAACACTAAATGTCAGGTGGTTTGACTTTCGCACAAGGACTGAAGTAGCAGGTACCTTTTAGTGAAAGCAGGGTCCATGAAGAGTTCTGGCACGGGGAGACCTTGTTCTTTCGCTATGAGTAGGAGACCCAGAAGATGACGGTCAAATCCTGCCAAGAAACAAAACCTCCTGAGCAAGGTTCAGACTGCAGTACCCAGATGTGGTAGTTAAAAGACCAACATATTCAGCCTATGATAGCAAAATCAAATAAAAGGGATTAGGATAAAAGGGCATAGAGGATCAAATAAAAGGGAATAAATTCTTAAAAAGAAATAAGAATTTAGTTTAGATGAACTTATGTAGTATGCTATGGCCTCTAGCATTTCAGGATGAATAAAGAAATGCCAAAAAATGATGTACACAGAAACATGGCTGGCTAAGTCCTTAGCTCATGTGGTAGTTAAAAGATCAACAGTTCATGCAGCTCTAGTGAGAAAGCTTCCCTTTTCAGGCAACCAGTGGAATGGGCCCAATTTACTAAGGACACAGCCAATCATGCCTCTGTCTACATCATTTTTTGTCATTTCTTCATTCATCCTGAAATGCTAAAGGCCATAGCATACTACATTCTTCTGCTAAGTTCTTCTGCTTGGCTACTGAAAGCATATTCTAGGAAGAATGGGTTTTCACAGTGGGCAGAAACTATTGTGCTGTACACACCTAAGGAATCAACCTTCTGTGTTCTGCTACAAGATCTGGGCACTTTCTGTGGCAAAATAAGACTAAAAATATTGCTGAACTATAATGAATCTCATGACGAATAACAGTAAAGGTCTATCCCTTACAGCACAATTAGTGACCTGAGGAAAATGACTGTTCCAAACAACCCCTTCTAGCTCCAGCAGAAAGCCTGAGATTATCCAGTTCCCAGGACAGCATGCTGGCAGTGTTTGGCCAGTGAGGTTTGAGAACTTCAGACCTTCTGTAGTAGAATGATTACTTCTTGACCTGTGGAACCAGATCTTTCCCCCACTAATCTAGTCCAAGAGGAGATGTCTCCTTCCAACTAAGAAAGCTAGGCTGACCAAGAGATTTAAGTTATGTGTATCAAAGCCTAACTCTTAGATGTTTTAATGCCTACTGAAATCCACAACCCTTATTTAGGAGTCTGGGGTCCTAACAGGGGAAGAGGATTCAGTCCCTAACCCAATAACTAACAAACAATAAATCTAGGCGCTTTTAGATCACCCAGATTGCTCTAGGAAGCAGCCAGATAAACTATATTAATAAAATGTCTTTTTTTTAGGAACAGAAGAAAATGAGTGACTAGAAAGGAAGTACCTTTTCCAGTTTCACATTCTTTCATCAGCTTGTTGTGCTTTGCAAATGCCTTTAGCATCAGTTGGAGCCGTTCATGAGGCTGTGTAAAATAAGAAAAAATGAAAGCACTTCACCTGAATATCATAAAGAAACAGTGATCAGAAAATTCCTCTGTAAATGTAGTGCCAAGGAACAAAGAAAATGTAGGCACATGGAAAGCTACGTCTGTGCCTTTTGTCCTGTTTGATTCTTCAAATTCTTATGTTTTTAATCCTCTTTTTAACTCTTGTTTCAAAAAGTTTTCTTTGTGACTTGTTTTCCATGCTTTTACCCTATCAGCCATTGATCTTTTACATACAATAATTTTCTCAACCTCATGTTCTTTTCTTATTTTTGATTGGAACTGAAGCAAAAAAAAAAAGACAATTTTAAAACAACAGTCCTTAATCTTGTTAGACTCAAGGCACCCCTCAGAAAATGCCAGCATTTAGCTTTCATTCATTTTTTAATTATGGAAAATAATAGAGCAATTCTTCTATTGAAAATAATTCAGAAAAACCACAACAGGACAGAATGTTTTATGACACCAGGGATTTCTATTTGGAATCTCCAGGTTTATCTTGTGCATCCTGTGTGGGTGTTGGCACATCTAACAGTGCAAATATTGTGTAGCACCCCATGGCATCCGTAAAGATCTCATGGCACTCCAGGACGCTGCTTCAAACTAAATAAATATAATAATTTTCCATAAAATGATTAACTACATTAATTCAGAAACGCATGTTATCTAATGCAATTTCTTTTACAGTCATGGAGTTGTACATGTAAATCACAGAATTGAAAAGAAAGAAATACAGAAGTGATAAACATCTATCTTCACTATCTCTTTTAATTAAAAATACACAAATGCCTTTTCCCAAATAGTGAGACTCAGAAAAAATCCTCTGAGCCTAAACACAAGTAGATGAAAAGTAGCAATGACTGGGCGCAAAATTACTGCACAGTATGGGAGTATCTCTACACATGCACGCTCATACTGCACAGTAAATACGGTAACTTAGGCCAACTTAAGTGTCAATTTGATACCAAATCACGCAGGTATAAAATTTATGTCTGATTAGTTACTATACAGTAACGCACATGTAAATGCCATACTGCGCAGTAACACTGTGTGTGAACTGATTTGGGACTAACTTTTGTCTCGAGTCAGTCCACACACAGTGCTAATGCACTTTAACGCCTGCACACATAGATGCCAGCCTATTCCTGCTTCTGTGCAGTTAATTTAAGCTGGCATAAATGCACATGTAGACATTCCCACTGAGTTATTAAAACTAGTATCTTGGAAGTTCTCAGATTTGTTATATTATGAACAGGCAACTCAGCTGACTGCTATATCACAATTTGATGCGTACAACCAGAGCCTTACTGATTTCAATGGAGGACTACCCTAAATTACTGTTTCTAGAAAACAGTGGATCAATACAGAGGCATATTAATAAAACACAGGGAAAAATGGTGGCAGCATTATTTGATAGAAAGTAAACAGAGGGCCAAATCCAAATATAACTAAAGATTTTAAAACCATCTTAAAAGAAAAAGTTGAGAATATTCTATTAAAAAACAGAAAAACAAGCGAACAAGTGGGCCATCAGTAAGTTGCAAACCACCTTGGTTTTTCTATGTAAATAATTTCTTTGCATAAAGCAAAATATTTTACACTGAATCTAAGACCAAAGTTTATGAGAAAATAAGGACAAACTACAAGAAATTGAGTTTACTGAAACAGTGGAAACACCTCCTTGGATAAAGCAAAAGGCAACAGATTCCTATTAATCACAGTAAAAGGGAGAGAACGCAAAGATCTTCTAGCCCCACCACCTGAGAGCAGGGTTGTTTTTTGCAAGGGCTTTTCCACAGCCATTTTCTGGAGCTGACTTTTTACATTTAGCGAAGCAACTTATTTTGCAATTGACAGCTGCAGCTTTTTGACATACATGGTATACTTCAGTTTCCCTACCCCTGTTGCTAGGAGGAACAGACAATGTTCTTCTCATGGGATGGGGAATAAATGTAAGAATAGTAGCTAACACCTCAGAATCAGGCAGGATTTTTTTCTGATCATGTTACCAATTCTCTCCCCTGACTGATTAAAGACTCATTTATTTTTATTTAACTGTCTTTGCCCACCCGCAAAGTTTTAAATTTAAATCAGTTTCCTGATTAGCTTTAACTATAGACATTAGAAATACAAGAAGTCCTAACAGGCTTCTAAAAGACATGAAAAGAATCTACCTGTGCAAACACAAATAGAGATCAGAGGTGTCAGCAAACTATTCTAAACCAGGAAGTTGGCATCCTACAGCCTGCAGCCCATAAAAAGACTTGATCTGGTCTGCAGCAGCTCAGGAAATCAGCAGCATGCTCCAATCACTATGGCAGAGGAGGCTGCCCAGAGTCCTACTGTATGCTTCATTCAGTTTATGCTCTGTTGAAGCAGGGATCTAGGGATCTACTGCCTGCCTTTTTCTATGTATTCCTTTTGCAGCCTCTGCTGATTGCCAAGGGTGAGGGGAAGTGGCCTGCAGTGGGGGGTCACAAACAGTGGCCTGCAGTGACAAAATATTGCCAACCTCTGCTCTAGACATTAAACCCAAGGTCTGCTTCTGCTCAACTCCACTGCATCAAAAAAATGAAAAATATACACAGGATAAAGGAAAGCAGGTCATATGCTGCAGTTTGCCTACACTTATAGCTCTGGTGGGGGAGTGGTGGGGAATGACACCTGTGCTTTATTTTCTTTAGCTGAAAATGATGTCAACTCCCATAACTGACACAATTAACCACAAATTCTACCTAAGGTGAATCATGTGGCAGGTCCTTTAAATACATTAAGGATAGTGCAGATTTTCAATATTTACACTGGAGTTTGGATTCAGCATGGATTGGCACCACTCCACTGCTTCCACAGTACATGGTCTCATGGTCTCTGTGCGTCCATGATAGAAATGCCTGGTCATGGCAGTTTGATAACAGCAGCCTGGGCTAAGAAGAAAAATTAGGAAGGGACATTTCACAATGATGACAGATTTCTCTTTCCCATTTTGAAGTATAAATACTGTAAAAATATTCTATGCTTTAAACCCATTTACAAGTAAAAGTAAATCACTAAGTTTCTTTTAGGTGGCTGAAATACAAGACTAATGACATATAAAAGAAAGAAAACTGTCTTGAAAGCTTTAAAGGAACCAGTAAGGGCTCAGATAATTCAAGAGACCCTACAATAAAATGAAATTAATTTGACACAATCCAAGGACTTTTTTCTTCAGACTAAGTCTTTCATTCATACTGGATGCATCTACATGAGACACTTTACAGCACTATAGCGTAGTTTACTGCACAGTAAGCATGCATGTCTACATGTGCACATGCTCATTGCACTGTAAACCTCACTAATTGCAAGTAAATTTACTACCTGCAAATGCAAGTAGCAAATTTACTTGCGACTACTAACTGCACAGTAGCACGCGTATAGATACCTGACCAGGAGCAAATTGGCTCCTGGTCAGTTAGCCACCAGTGGGCAGGAGACTGCTCCCTGACCCTGGGGCAGGCTCCGCCACTGGGGCCTGGGTGGGGACTATAACCCCACCCCCTGCCTCAGCAGTAGAGAGCTCCAAGCCCCCTGATCCAAGATCACGATCAGGGAGCAGGGGCTGGGAGATCTCTATCTCTCAGCCCCTGCTTTACCATCGTGATCAGGGAGCACGGGGCTAGAAGATCCTTATCTCAGCTTTTTCCCTCCCGGCCCCAGCTCCGTGAGCATGGGGCTGGGTGGATAACAGGTTGGGGAGACTGTTCCCCGCTCAGCTCCTCGATCACAGAACTGAGCAGGGAACAGGCTCTCCAGTCTCTGTGCCACGATCACGGAATGGGGGCTGAGAACTGTCCTGGTCACGGTCAGGTCCCAGCCCCATACCCTAATCAGATGATTGAGGCATGGGGCTTGAAAAGAGCTGCAGGGATGGGGTAGGTCCCAGGCTCCTGCCCCATCCAGCACTGCAGGGCCCCAGGAAGTAGAAGCAGTATGCGGCCATTAGCAGCAAATCTCCTGCTTCCCTGCATGTGTGGATGTCTGCCTGGGAGCGTTTACTCATGAGTAAACTGCTCCTGGGTCTAATGGATGTGTAAATACACCCATTGATGAGGAAAATGAGAACTCTGCAGGCTTCAGCTCATGGAGTTTATGTGCATCTTTCCATTAGAGTTCAGACAGAAGTCATTTGCTCCATGCAAAATCTAAGGATTAGAAGATCAACTAAAAACTAGGCATATTTACAAACTCTTTCATATTTAAAAGACAAAAGATTCAATCATCCATATGAGGATTTCAATGCAATTATTCTTATTTACATCAAATAGAAATCGAGCGTATGATGTGTATTTCATGCAAATTATCACTGTGTGTTTTGAACTGTTTTTTATGTGGTTTTAGTCAGACAGTTTTAGAGAGAGAGAGAGTGTGTGTGTGTGTGTGTGTGTGTGTGTGTGTGTGTGTGTGTGTGTGTGTGTGTGTGTGTGTCCGTCCGTCCGTCCGTCCGTCCGTCCGTCCAAAAAGGTTCTGGTGCAGGTGCTTAGCATGCATGTTCTTCTGGTGTTTCTTCCTCCCATCCCCGTCTCCCCCAACTTTCTCTTTTTTTGCCTCCTCACAGCATAGGTGTTCTCCAGGGGGCAAATGAGGCACAAATGGAGTCTGGGTTAGCTGTTGTGACCTGCATGGGATGTGCCATGTTCATGTTTCTTCCAGAGGGTCAGAAGCACTTCATGTGCACCAAGTGTATCTGCCCTGGAGGAGAAGATTCAAAGATATGAAGTATGGGTACCCATGCTGCATTGCATCTGAGACCAGGAAGATTACTTGAACAAGAGTTATGAGAGGCTGGTACTGGAGTGGCCAAGGGGCAATGAGGAGACGTGGCAGTTCGTGACTACTCAAAGGAGGGCCCCCAGAAATGAAGAGGAGCAGACTGAAGTCACCAACCACTGTCAGGCACGCTGTGGGTGAGGAGAGATCATTTGTAGGAATGAGGCAGAGGAGGTAGCAGACTACAGAGCAGGAAATGCAAGGTCTCAAGGACAGGGGCTCCAAGACCACTGCACCAAGAAGGAAGAAAAGAGCAGGGGACAAAGGCACCAATCTCTTGTCCAGATTTGTGGGCCTGGGAGGTGTGCTGCCTGCCTGGAGCCCAATTCAGGACTTCACAGAGGGTCTGCTAAAGCTTTCCTCAAACCACTACCCCTTCTAGCTTGTCCATGTAGGTACCAATGATACTGCCAGAAATAACACTGAACAACTGAAAGATGCAAAACTGATATAATGGTGGGGATTTATTATAGGCCACCTAATTAGGAAGAGGAGGTGAATGAGGCACTCTTCAAGCAGGTGAAAAATCTATCAAAAAGCTATGGGATGATGCTGATAGATTTCAATTTTCTGGACATCTGCTGAAATAAAAATGCAGCCAAACATAAAATGTCACGCCTGTTATTAACTTATGGAAAAGACAACTTTCTCTTCCAGAAAGTGGAGGATACATCTAGGTGATCAGATCTTGTCCTGAACAGCAGGGAAGAACTGGTGGAGGATGTGAAGATGATGACTAAGTTCAGAGGAAACAATCATATAATAGAATTCCAGATCTTGAGACAGGGAAAGCATGAGGTCAGCTAAATTAGGATTAAAAAACCCCTAGATTTCAAAAAGGCAGATTTAGTCTGACTCAAGGAGTTAATAGGCATGGTGTCATGGGAGGATAGATTGAAAGATAAAGATGCCTAGGAGGGCTGGGAGCTTCTAGGGGCCCAGTATCGGATGCCCGACAAGAAACAGCCCTGACATAATGGAAGCACAAGAGTAGCAAGAGACCAATGTGGGTGCACAAGGAGATTCTAAGATGCCTCAAATGCAAAAGGAAAGCATACAAACAATGGAAGAATAGGCAAGTCACCAAGGAACCTGCAGGGACCAAATCAGGAAGGAAGAGATAAAGAACAAACTGCACTTGGCAAAAGGAGGCTAAGGACAACAATAAGAGGTCCTACAAGTAAGTTGGCCAGAAAACAAGAACCAAGGAAACTGTGGGCTCTCTGTTAACAAATCAGGGGCAATTCCTAACTGAAGATGCAAAGAAGGTGGAGCTACTCAACAGCTACTTTACCTCAGTCTTCACAAAAAATTAAGCTGCACTCAGATACCTAATAGGAATTATTTACATAAGGAAGAGGGGTAAGCTGAAAGAGGCTATAACAAAAGAGATTATATATGAGCTTTTGTTGAGTCTGAATGAATTTAAGTCAGCAGGATCAAATGAGTTTCATCCCAGGGGCATGAAATTGTGGGAGACAGGTCGGGTACCAGAGGACTGGAAAAGGGTGAATGAAGTACCCCTCTTTAAAAAAGAAAAGAACCACCTCAATACCTGGGAAGTTACTGGAGCATATCCTAAGCAAGGCCATTTGTAAGCATCTGGAAGAGGAAAGGTTGATCACAATCAGCCAGAATGGGCTTATGCAAAACAAATCATGTCAAACAAACCTAATCTCTTCCTGATGGTTGGAAGAGGGCCAATGTCGTGCCTATATTCAAGAAAGGGAGGAAAGAAGATCCAGCAAACTACAGACCCATCAGCCTGACCTTTATCCTGGGGAAGGTCTTGGAAAAGATTATCAAAGAGACCATCCTTAACAGACCAGCTGATGGCAATAACCTGAGGGATACCCAGCACAGGTTTGTTGCGGGTAGGTCTTGCTTGACCAATCTCATTTCCTTTTATGACCAGGTGACTTATCACCTGGACAAGGGGGAAGAGATCGACGTTGTATATCTTGACTTTAAAAAAGCCTTCGATCTGGTATCCCACGATCACCTCTTGGCTAAACTAGCTAACTGCGGCCTTGACCTCACCATGATCCGCTGGCTGGGGAATTGCCTCCGTGGTAGGACCCAGAGGGTGGTGGTTGACAGGAGCCAATCATCTTGGTATGCTGTGACCAGTGGGGTCCCTCAAGGCTCTGCCATAGGGCCTATACTATTTAACATCTTCATCAATGATGCGGACATTGGAGTCAGAAGCAGACTGGTCAAGTTGGCTGATGACACCAAACTCTGGGGTAAAGCATCCACACCTGAGCACAGGAGGGTGATCCAGGTGGATCTTGACAGGCTTAGGAAATGGGCGAATGAGAACCTGATGGTGTTCAACACCGAAAAATGCAAAGTTCTCCGCCTGGGGAGGAAAAACCTACAGCATGCTTATAGGCTCGGCAGTGCTACGCTGGTTAGCACTACAGATGAAAGGGACTTGGGGTTCATGGTTGACCACAAGATGAACATGAGCCTTCAGTGTGATGCTGCGGCTACTAAAGCGAGCAAAACGCTGGCTTGCATCTATAGCTGCTTCTCAAGCAAATCCCGGGACGTCATTCTCCCACTGTACTCGGCCTTGGTGAGGCCGCAGCTGGAGTACTGCGTCCAGTTTTGGGCTCCACAATTCAAAAAGGATGTGGAAAAGCTTGAGAGGGTGCAAAGAAGAGCCACATGCATGATCAGAGGTCAGAAAAGCAGACCTTATGATGGGAGGCTGAGAGCCATGGGGCTCTTCAGCCTGGAAAAGTGCAGGCTCAGGGGTGATCTGGTGGCCACCTATAAGTTTATCAGAGGTGACCACCAGTATCTGGGTGAATGTTTGTTCATCAGAGCACCCCAAGGGATGACGAGATCGAATGGTCACAAATTCCGCTGCAACCGATTCAGGCTGGACATAAGAAAGAACTTCTTCACTGTTTAAGCCCCCAAGTTTGGAATAGATTGCTGCCGGAAGCAGTTCAAGCACCCACTTTGAACGCCTTCAAGAAACATTTGGATGCTTATCTTGCTGGGATCCTATGATCCCTGCTGACTTCCTGCCCCTGGAGCAGGGGGCTGGACTCGATGATCCTCCGGGGTCTCTCCCAACCCAAATGTCTATGAAATCTATGAAATTTGTCAAATTAATTATTTGGGTAGATGAAGGGAATGCTGCGGATACAGCGCACCTGGACTTCAACAAGGTTTTGACAAGGTCCCATAGACCTTCTCATAAAAAAACCTAGAGAAATGTGGGCTAGATAAAACTACTATATGGTGGATACATAACTGGCTCAATAGCTTGAAGCATTTAGGATAATTATGAATGGGTCGATATCAGAATGGCAGGAGGTTTTAACTGGAGTCGTGCAGGGGTCAGTCCTTGGCCCAGTGCTATTCGACGTGTTTATTAACAGTTTGGATGCTGGCGTAGGAAGCTTCTTGATCAACTTTGCAGACACAAGACTGGGAAGGTTTGCAAATACGCTGGAGGATGTGAACATCATTCAGAAGGATCTTGGCAGATTGGAAAGCTGGGCTAGAGCTAACAGGATGAACTTTAATTTGAATAAATGCAAGGTGCTACACCTCAGGAGGAATAATCAAAAATGCAAATACAAAATGGGTGATACCTGACTGGATGAAAGCTGTATAGCAAAGGACTTGGGAGTCTGGGGGCCAGCAGATCACCGACAAGGAGTGGGGGGTAGGGAAGTGTTCCCCTAGCGGCCAATCGTCGAGCCTGGAACCACCAGCAGTGAAACCTGACGTGTGCTTCCAGTTTTGCAGCTGGTGCTTCCAAGGGACTCACGGCCAATCTCAGTGGTTGCATGTGCACCCCTGTGCACCCCTTACACGTCACCTTACATGGTCTCCAGCACGATGTAGCCACACAATAGGCGAATGTGGTTTTGGGGTGCATCAATAAAAGCATTAGGTGCAAGTCACAGGAAGTGATAGTGCCTCTCTACTGGGCACTGGCTAGGCCTCATCTGAAGTACTGTGTACAGTTCTGGGCTCCATTTTAAAAAGGACACTTAAGAGGTAACATGATAGCAGTCTTCAAATACTTAAAGGGCTGCCATAAAGAAGAGGAAAAGTACCTTTTCTTTCTTGCTGCAGAGAGAAGGATGTGGACAAATGGCTTGAAGTTGCAGCAAATGAAGTTTACATTGGATATCTGGAAAAACTGTGGGTGCATCTAAATGTTCAATTAGTGCAGTGCATGCACGTACACATGGGCTTGGGTCCAGAGCAGTTTGAGCCGGGACAGAGCAGCTCTAGACTGGCAGCAGGCTCTGAGGGTCAGCCCTGGGCTCCAGGTCACAGAATCAGAAGGAGCTGGCAGGGACACAACAGTGCCTAAAGAATGAAGCCTTCTGGTTAGCTGGCAGGCAGGGGTATGCCCCGCTGCTGCCTGGACTGACCAGGTAAAATTTATGCTCAGGTCAGCATTTACATGTTCATTTAAGTGGTTATTTGGTCCATTAACAAAGCACATATGGACTGTGATGCTTTACACCACAGCAAATTATCCTACTGGGCAGTTAAGCACACATGTAGAAGCACCCTGTTAGAATAATGATGCAATGTAATAAACTGCCTAGAGAAGTTGTGGACTATTCATCACTGGAGGTGTTCAAGAAGAGGTTGGACAGTCACTGGTCAGGGATGACCTAGGTGTAGCTATGCTTATGTTCTGCTGTGGGTATTTCCCATGCTTCTGAGCTTTGCTGGTTGTCCCCACACCCTACCCCCTTTTCTTTTATATGAGTTAGGGTATTTTTAAGAAATGTTGGGTGTTGGCTATAGCTAAAGCTGGGGACTTTCACTGGGGTGTGCCAATATTGCTGCTAGGACCAAAGCTGGAAGTCCCCAGCTAGAGGGTCTTACCCCTCTGCTCAGGGCCCAACTGATCACAATATCTGGGGCCAAGAATTTTATCACATACTCAGATTGATATGGACTGTGGGGATTTTTGCCTTCCTCTGTAGTGGGGGTGTGGTCCTCTACCCAGGACCTCTTGAGTGTGTACTGACAACAGTTAATAGGAGGAGGACAATGGCTGATGTGGTTCCCCTGCTTTACCTGTGGAAGGTTAGGGTGTTAGGCCTATGTTGTGTCAGGATTATCTTATGCAGGGTTGTTTTATGCAGTTTAGATTATGATTTGTATGGGATGGTTTGGATAGGGATGGTCCTGCCTCAGGCAGGGGGTTGGACTAAAAGACCTCTGGAGGTCCCTTCTAGCCCTACTTCTCTATGACTTGTGAAGGGAATATGGTGTCATTGCAGATGACAATCATCTTTAGCTAATGACTGATTTCCATTATTGTGATAAAACAAGCCCTGTCCAGAAAAAAAGTAAATATCTGTAATATATATGGTGACCCACATTTAAATTAAATTCTACTTGGACAGTAGCAAAGCAAATCGACAGGTGGGGTTGGGGAGGACCTGCCATTTTGATTCAGTGGCGTTTGGAAGAGATTCATAATCAGCACAATCTTCCATTACTGTTGGCTGGGATTACACAATAAATCCTTCCTCACCTACCTGACCAAAGTGCCCAAAGTGCAAGGAAAGGAACTTGCTTGTTATATTGTCCATGTCTTCATACTGCTGTTCCAAATTTTCTGGGTAAGCTTTGGTGGTGGTGGGGACAAGATGGCAAAAGTAAGCCTTTTTGGGAGTTTGGAAGAAAGATATCAGCATGACACTTAGTCACCGACCAAAGTTTTCAACTGCACCAGGGCTTTTGCATAAGAATGAGTAATTTGTAGTGTGTAATAGATATAGAGCCTTATGGACCAACCATTTTGCTTACCTGTCCAGCTTACTGGAATGAAATCTAAAAATTCTGGCTAACTGTCCTCCACATTACTACACATATAACACAGGTCCAAGCATAAAATAGATATACAAGGTACTCACTCCTACTCCTGAAGTTAATGGAAAAGGTCACTGGTATACGATCAGGACCTATGAAACTAACAAGATTTACCCAAAGGACCCTGACAGCCTGACAAAGGGTGTTTGTTCCCTAAAGCTTCCAAAGAATTTTTTCCAACTATTTGAGTTGGTCTAATAAAAGATATCAGATTTATGCAAAACATAAATCTTGTCTGCCTATGTCCTTGGACTAACACAGCTACAGCCTATACCACAGAAACTGTAATTATGACATGGATTTCTTCGTTCATGCATGACTAGCAAAACACACAACACCAGTGAAAGCTCTTCATATTTTCCTCAGACTTTTTAGGTAGTTCAACAATAATTTTTAATTACCAAACTGAGCAATGTGTTTTTTTTTCTTACCGTCCATGAAGTTTATAATAGGCCAACTGCAAGGCAAGCTGAACAAATGTATCAGGATGAAGTCTCTTCTTCTTGGTCAGTGTTTTGCCAAATGATGTAAAGGCATAATTCACTAATTGTAAGTCACTTGCCTAACAAATACAAAAAATGTTATCGTGGGAGAATTCAAGAAATGTTCCATTCACAGTCTTGTTCAATTCAAATCTCAAAATAATGGATCAAGCTTGTCCCTGGTATAATTCCCCTGACTTCAATGGAACTATGTCATGGGTAAATTTGTCCTAGTGGTATTTAATCTCTGGCATGGAGAGAAGCCAAAAACATAATCAAAACAAGAGGTATAGACAGTTTACCTGCTGGTAATACTGTTTCTTAGCATGTTCAATTTCATTTAGCATTTTTTGGTTCAGTGTGAAAACAAGTTCTTCTGGCCATGGGATATCCCGAATCTTATCTGATCCCTGTATTAAAAAAAGAAGGTATTTATAAAAGGCAAAATACTGACTAATCATGCTGTAAACTTAGATACATACCTCCCATTTTCCTTTACTTTCAATAATCTTCTTGTCTACATAAGAGCCCAGAGCTACTAAAACCATGCCATCCATGGGAGTATGCTAAAAAAACAAGATGTAACATTGCGGTTATTATATGAAAGAAATGAATCAACCGTACATTTTTCCACTTGCATTCCTCTTCCTATATCATGTTTAACTGGGTTGTGTGGAATTTAAGGCCTTGTTAAGCAACTACATTTCTAGCTCTTCTACCTGTACTGATAATAATTACATGGTTAGCCCAACTTCTTTTTTGATTATCTGATAGCCAGACTGGCAAAATATAACTCTAGTGAGAAGAACAGACCTGGGCAGACTGCACTACTGGAAAACAAATTTTAACCTGGGAGGGGGCAGGGGCAGGAAAAAATATATAATGCCAGGAGATCCCTAAAGATCTTATAAGCAAACAAAACCAGTATTTTACTTACATCAGAGTTTGAACAAACTGTCCCATTGGAAAAGATGATACTGTTGTAGGATTTATCTCCCCAGCGTATGGTTGGATCTCCTGCTAATGCCAACCTGGTAATCTAAATCACAGATTCATTTATGGGTTTTCAGAAATATCTGAAAGCATGCCAGCACTCTGGCAGACAAAAATATCTGGATGCTTTTTTTATTATTAACAACCTGCAACTTGAAAATAGTAATTAGGTGATCGGTCTTGGATGAGCCACAAAATAACTATAATCCCTGCTTTTGAGTTGAGCAAGGTCTATATACTAAGAGATAAGAAGGATGTGTCAATCCATAGGCAAGGCATAGGGGAGGCACAGTGGGGGCATGTGCCCCCCCGAGACTGGTTGCTGCTGAAGCCGCCACCTGCTTCTGCAGCCAGTTGCCGCTCACCACCCACCCCTCTTTGCTGCCAACACTGTCAGTGTCTGCAGGTGGTCCCTGATCACCACCTCTTCCCCACACCAGCACCACTGCCAGCACCTGTGGGGAGTCCCCACTCGCTGCCATGGTGCCCCCCCAAGTCTCAGGAGTCATTCATGTGTCAATCATAGCAGACACATTTACAATGGAGCCAACATGTCCAGCTGAAGAAAAACAATATGCAAAAAGCCTGGTGTCAAGGGTTTAAAGAAAAGGCTGGATCCTTGTGATGACCTCTGGGGCCTGCACAGGAAAGGAGCATGAGCAGATAACTTTAAACAACCTTTACTTCCTGTATCCTGGAATAGGCAGGTTGTGGGGATCAGCAGCAGTTGGTCATGCCCACATCCTCAGGCACATCTCCCTTAGAGAGGCCAAGAAGGAATGGTGAAACAGCCGATACATTACTGAGAGAACGCAGGTATTATCAAAACATGTTTCTTATAGAGAAGAGTAAAATTACTTGGAAATCCCAAACTACCTGGCTGTAATCCTTGGAGGTTGCATGGGGACTGGAATCATCAAAGGATAACACAAACAAACTTCTCTGAATCTTCTCTAGTAGAGTTAAATTCTTTGGATCAAGATTGATTAGATATTCACGTGCCTAGAAGACATGGAATAAGTAGCTGAATTACTGAAAGAATGCAAATCTAAGCAAATTCAACATTTTTATCAAGGATCAATAACTGAAAGTATCCAACCTCTGCCCATTTGGTTCTCTCATTGCTTGTTAAGGCTCCCAGCCCTGGTCCATTGGGTTCATTATGGCACCTTTTTTGGATATATGCAAATTGCCTTAAAAGTAAAAGATTAAAAAAACCACAATTAACAAAGCTGATACTCATGTTAGTGAGCTACAACAAAGATTCAGTATTTTGTGTTCCACAGCTTACAGTATGGCTAAGTCAGTGGTTCTCAACCTTTTTAGACTCAAGGCGCCTATCCATTGATTCAAGGCATTCCTCTAAAACTTTTGTGAATGGAATGGTACCTCATTTGAAAAACAAACTTATTTATCACAGTGGGCCCAGGCAGAGGGGCCAGGCAGCAGGGGCATGGCCAGGCAAGGACTGAACCTGAGCCTGGGCTTATTTGCTTATTTCCTTACACCTAACTTAACTCCTCTCACACCTCACAGCCTTCAAAGGATCTCATAGCACCTTTGGGCGCTCTGACATGTTTGTTGAGAATCTGTTTGTTGAGATTATCTGAAATTTTGAGAAAAGCATATCAACTTTCCTCACGTTATACGAGAGTAAAGGTGGAAGGTAACTTTGATGATGATGAAGATAAAATAAATGACAAGAGTTCAAGATCCAAAGAAAAGGAAAGGAGTGCAGCTGAATAAAGACACTGGACTTCAGAAAAGCATACTTTAATGGTCCAGCCTTGCAGTCTGCTGGGGGGTGGGGGGGAAGCTGCCAACATGAAGGGGAGCAGCCATGATGGCAGCAACCCCCTCCTCCCTCTGCCACCAACTGACCAAGAGGGCTGCTTTTCCTGTGGCCCTGCCCCTCTCTGCCAATCAGCGGTGAGGAGTGGGGTTGCACAAAAGAACCCTCTCAGCCAATCAGAGCTGGAGGGGGGGCAGGAGAGGCTCGCCACTATAAGCCTGCAAAAATAGCAGCCACCACCATGGTCAGCCTGCAAAATCGCTTGTCTGCTGCCTCAATATTGCCATGATTCCCTTCAGGTGGGGCTCAGGAACCTCCCAGGAAGGAGCTCACTGTCCAGGTGTGGAGGGGTTAAATAGTCCTTTGATTCTAAAAGTTAACGTTAATCCCCATATTTTGGGAGGAGGTAAAAAGTGCAAAAATAAGGTTTGCTTAAGGATCCAAAAGGAAGGGAAATTGGACTGGGTAAATAATGAGGGGGGAGCGAGGATTTTAGTAAAAAAATGAATTTTAGGGCAACGATGTACGAAAGACTATATAGGGACCAAAATAGCACTGCAGGCATACCAAGCAGACAAGTGATGCCCAACTTTTTGGCCCTTTGGTCTGGCTGAATGGTGTGAGGCCAGTCCATGGCCAAGTCACCCACCCCAGCATAGCCACAATTAGAAGTAGGGGAGTGGCAATTAAAGCTGCCACTGCTCCCCCACTGACAAATTTTTGGACATGTGGGGAATCCTATGGGTCAGATGATGCAACTCCATGGCAGGATCTGGCCTGCAGGCTGGGGTTGTGCACTAGTGAAGCAGAACAACCATAATCGAGATATGCTCTATTTCTTATTGTCTTATATTATAAAGAGGTGATGGCAGCTCCAGCTAATAAATATATATGCCAGTGTCTCCAGCCAGGTTGTTTGAATATTAATGAATGTTATATTTACCTATGCAAACATTGATAGTAAAGAGTTCATAGATTTCATAGACATTAGGGCTGGAAGGGACCTTGGAAGATAATTGAGTCCAGCCCCCTGCCCGAGGGCCAGGAAGTTGGCTGGGGTCACAGGATCCCAGCAAGATAAACATCCAAATGTCTCTTGAAGGTGTACAATGTAGGTCCTTGAACCACCTCCGATGGCAGGCTGTTCTAGACCTTGGGGGCTCAGACAGTAAAGAAATTCTTCCTTATGTCCAGCCTGAAATGGTCTTGCAGTAGTTTATAACCGTTTGACCTTGTCATCCCTTGGGGCGCTCTGGTGAACAATCATTCCCCCAGATCCTGGTGTACACCCCTGATAAACTTATAGGTGGCCATCAGGTCACCCCTGAGCCTGCGCTCTTCCAGGCTAAAGAGCCCCA